CACGCACCACAATGAAGAGTAGCCCCCGCTCACCACAACTAGAGAAAGGCCCACACGCAGCAACGAAGACCCAACGCAGCCAAAAATAAATAAATTAACGAAAAATAAATAAATTTTTAAAAAACGTATAGGCCTGTGTTTATTCTGAGACCATATCCTTCCTACATTTAGCTATTAAATTAGAGATCTTCTCTTTACAAACTGATGGGGACAGCAGAGAGTTATAATGTTACTTGAAAAAAATAAAACTTGGCCACTCTGCTGGTCTCGCCAACCCCCAATTTTTTTTTTTAAATTTTGCTGCTCCAGCATAAAATCTAAATGCCTGGGATGTACTTTCACACAGCAGTATGAAAGTAGCAATTCATGTGCAAAGATTAATCGTAATTTACCAGGAGTTATACATACAGTTAGGCTACCTTGAAGTAGCAAAGACCATGACGGTCTCCACAGACAAGATGACGAAAACACAATACATAGCCTGAAAGTTGAATCTGAACCTAAATACCGGAAGTTCCTCCATTAATTTGAACCTAAATACCGGAAGTTCCTCCATTAATTTGAACCTAAATACCGGAAGTTCCTCCATTAATTTGAACCTAAATACCGGAAGTTCCTCCATTAATTAGATTTGTAACAAAATTAACATGAATAGAATAAATAATTCTAGTGATACGGTGGATGCAGAAAGGATACTGCTATTAGCGAAATCACAAAATTCATACAGCATTAAAGCTGTACTTCAAGAGCTAAGACATCTAATGCCGTCCAAAGAAAACATGCAGCTACCACAACCGCCAGGACAAACATACAGGAATTAATTTGACTGGATCCCATCCTTGTTTTAAATCAACAACATTCTCCTCACGTTTGCTGTCTCGATGAAACATCTCGATGCAAAATATCCACACATTAAGAACTCCAGCTGGTAGACATCACCCAGACATTTGTAAGAATATAGTTAACACATGCAAACCCATTACGTTTTCAGGTAATGGGTAATGGGAAGAAAAATGCAGCACAATTCTCTTTTGTCTTGTTAAGGTGCTGTCATTTAAGCAGAAACCTGGAGTATTCGTAATAGAATTCGGTTACAAGATGAAAGCATGGCAAAAAATGTCAGGTAGCTGTGGAAGCATGTGTGTTTCTGAAAACTACAAACCTAAGAAGGAAAAGCAGAAAGGACAAGCTTTATCTATTTTGCTGTGTACAAGAGCTGCAGTTTAAATCGTTAGGGGCTTCCCTGGTGGTCCAGTGGTAAAGAATCCACCTTACAATGCAGGGGACGCGGGTTTGCTCCCTGGTCAGGGAACTAAGATCCCACATGACGCGGGGCAACTAAGCCCACACACCACAACTCCTGAGCTCACGTGCCTCAACTAGAGCCTGCGTGCCACAAACTCTGGACTCCACGTGCCACAACTAGAGAGAGACAAGCCACAACAAAAGATTCCACGTGCCTCAGTGAAGATCCCGTGTGCCACAACTAAGACTGACGCAGCCAGAAAAATAAATTAAATAAATAAATCTTTTAAAAAATAAATAAATTGTTTAATGTCACAAACTGTGTTAATATTTTAAGTGATGTGGGTGCTGACTACTCATAGCATCAAAAATATATTCAGGATTGCATTTATACCTGTATTTATAATTTTAAAAAGTCAAGAGGGGAGCCTGATGAGCTTCTGTTAAAAGCCATTCCCACATTATATGTAACAGACAAGGTAATATTTGTTTACAGATGGTGGCTGAATAAACCATCCATTTAAGTTTAAGTGAAATCAGCAAAAAGGAAATACGTATTGATGTGTCTTTTGGAGATTAAAGTTAGTCTTAAAATGTAAATAAGATATGGAAACTGTCCTAAAAAATTATTTTTTTAAATCACATACCGGGTAAACAGCGCCCTCACTCTCCACTGTCCTGTTGGCTATGTCCTTGGGTTCCAAGCAGCCCTGATGGCAGTACAGAACAGGGGGATGGTGGGAAGTTACCTACTTATCCCCACATTAGGCATCTCATTCCCTCCCAGACTATTCTACGTGGAGTCCCTCTCTCCTCTCCTTCACCAGCTCAGCCCTCTCCGCCTGAAAACCCAGCTCACTCTTCACAGCCTCCATTAAAACAAAACAGAAAGCACCTGACTCACAGCTATGCCCCTCAAACTCTGTGCACCCAAAAGACCGATGCACTCCACAGGATCCAGCACTAAACGAACATCAGATGACTGACAGAAGTATTTTCTCTAGGACTGCATCAGAGATCATCTGGGATAACAAAGAATTCAAGTATTATTCATCACCTATTTTGGAAAAATTAGTCAGAAATTCCATCATCATAAGTATAAATACTTCTGCAGAAGCAAAGCCTCACCACCAGAATTTAATCTCCACTCAACACAAACCATTACCTGTGCGCTTAATGGACCAGGGCAGTTAAAACTTCACCAAGTAGCAGGACCAGTCTGCACGTTGGGTCCAAAATTCTATTCGACTGTGGGGCAAAGAGCACACATCACCAACTAGCCTAATCTCATGGAACTTCCCAAGGCTGTAAATTCTGTGTGTCACAGGCAAAGTCACTGAATCCCCTCCAGAAGCTGGCACCTACCCAAGGACTCCCATCTCTCCCAAAATTTTTGATTATGAGACTGTATCTTTGAAGGCTGACTGAGATGAAAAAGCTTTTCAAACCCAAAGAAGAGGGCAGGGCTGAGGCCCTGACAGCCCAGTGTTTTCCTGCCCCTCCTCGGCCCTCCAGTTAAACCCTGCAGGTTTAACTATTTGGGATTGTCTTGTATCCTCCCTCCTCTTTGATATGTTCTGGTGTGAACTCTTCCCTTTCACACTGGGTGAGGACAGGGCAACAGCCAGAGGTGACACAGAGACAGGGCTGAATTGTTTCAAGGCACTAGAAGTGATAGGATGTCTGTGGGAACTGAGAAAAAAGCCCCTAGAAAGGTTAACATTTGAAGACCCAACATCGCCCATCAAGGCCTTAAAGAAGCTGTCTCCTCTTACTGTCCTCGACATCACATACCACATATATTATTCACCACACTGCAACTGTTTTTCCCTCCATCCTCGAAACATTTAATATTTCACTTTTTTTTTGGCTGCGTTGGGTCTTTGTTGCTATGCGCGGGCTTTCTCTAGCTGTGTCGAGCAGGGGCTACTCTTCGTTGAGGTGCGCGGGCTTCTCATTGCAGTGGCTTCTCTTTGTTGCAGAGCATGGGCTCTAGGTGAGTGGGCTTCAGTAGTTGTGGCACACAGGCTCAGCAGTTGTGGCTTGCGGGTTCTAGAGCGCAGGCTCAGTACCTGTGGCACAGGGGCTTAGTTGCTCTGTGGCATGTGGGATCTTCCCGGACCAGGGCTTGAACCTGTGTCCCCTGCATTGACAGGCGGATTCTTAACCACTGTGTCACCAGGGAAGTCCTAATATTTCACTTTTAAGACCTGAGTTTTTTTAATGAAAGGGATATTTTGGGCTTTCAAAAGAAATTTTTTAATGATTATTAAAGTAACATTGAGAAATACTTTCTCTAACTTCATTCTTTAAGGCACATATATCATTTATATAAGTTAACCAGTAGTGACTTCCAGGCAATGAGGCAGGCATGGACGTGGTATCTGGTCAGGAGCAATTCCATACTTAAGTATGTGCAGTTGGGAAAGACAGACAAGGAAGACTGGTGTTTCAGCAGCCCCTGAAATGTACTATTACTTGACACTGATGGGCTATTTCCCAGGAGAGAATTGCAGTCCTTATAGAAATAAATATGAACAACAGAGACATCCTGTCAATTTCACCAATGTGGGTTGTCTCTGATGTACCTGGCACTGCACTAAATATTGGGAGTAACACGGAGATTGAAAGGCAGACTTTTTCTTCAGGAGCTGTCTTAGCTCGGGCTACAATAACAAATTATCATAGACTGGAGGCTTAAACAACAGAATTTATTTCTCCCACTTCTGGAGGCTTGGAAGTCCAAGATCAAGGTGCTGACAGATCTGGTGTCTGGTGAGGGCACACTTCCTGGCTTGGAGATGGAGGCCTTCCTGTGTCCTCACCCGGCAAAAAGCAGGGAGAAGCAAACTCTCTTTGGACTCTTATCAGGGCACTAATTCCACTCATGACGGCCCCACCTTCATGACTTCTTCTAATCCTAATCACCTCCCAAAGGCTCCACCTCCTAATACCATCACATCAGGGGGTAGAGTTTCAACATGTGAATTTGATTGGGGGGCGGGGATCACAAACACTTCAGTCCATAATAGGAGCCCACACTCAGTGAGAAGGACTCTTTAAATGCTAAAAGTTACAATGCATGAGATCAATGTCACAGCAGCAATGCATTAAGGACACTGGGAGCACAGAAGAGGAAGAAATTAGTCCTGCTTAGGGAAGGAACTCAGAAAAAGTCCCATGGAAGAAGTGATACTCTAACTAATACTGAAGAAAGAGCTGGAGTTGGCTAAGAAGATAAGTAGGGGACAGAATTCTTCAGATCAAAGAATGACTCACTAAAACTTTCTCTCTCTCTCTCTCTCTCTCTCTCTCTCTCTCTAACTGCCTGAGGCGAATAAAACCAACTTACCAATTTTAACCAGAGTTAAACCAGACGTTTAATTACTGTTGAGGTTTCTCCAAAAGTTATTTGTTTTCAGCTTATCATCTATTCATAGCATCCACAAAAGTGACCTCCTGAATTTGCAGAGGCAGCAGAATTTTTACAACGGTAATAATACTAAGATGAAACTTAATAGCATAGATTGCCTTTATAACCAACAGCGCATCCGCATTCTCCAAGCCCACTAAGGCTGATGGGAAGCCTCATTTGCTGCCCCAAGCTTATATTTCATGGAGCACTTTTTAATTTTAATATAAATTGATTACATTCAAGAGCTACACATCTACTTTTAAACTAAACCATTTTCAGTAGATCGCTGAATACTTTACATGAACAACAAAAGTTTTACAAGCTGATTTGTTCTTCTTACCTCCATGGGAAAAGCTTTGAAATTAACTGTGTGCTCAGAACCACGCTGGTTTTCTCTTCCCCAATGAAATCTGACTTCATACAGCTCAAATTCATGCCCTTGAGGCAATGGACCTCCGGATAGAACTGAAAAAAGAAAATAAATTATATTTAATTACATCTCAAACACATTCATCAGCACATCACTATAAACACTAGGGACATTTTTTTGCCAAAAAGGTCTCATGAGCTCTACAGAATAAATTCACATAACCAAAATGAAGACTGAATCACAACTGTGAGATGAATTTATACTGTCATCTTAATCCAGTAAAAGTTCAAAAACTCTGAAATACTTGGGAATGATATGTATATGTTAACTTCTTGTATGTTTTAGGCATAGGAGTTGACAGAAAATAAACACAGTAGCTATTTATACTCCCTGACACTTAAACTTATCATTGATCAGGGGACAAGAATATGGTCTGAGTCTCAGGCTGATCAATAATTTGCCTATCAATAAACTGAACCTTGTTTACAGATAATCCATTTACATGAGCAGGCTTTCAACTGAGACAACAGATGTCAGCAAACAAAATTATCCATGCAGTGAATTATTATTAAGCCCATTTGATTTTTCAACAATGAAATCACATTTTAAAAAAAGCAATCTATCATCCAGTGTCACATAAATGTAAACAAAATTGTAATAAAATATTAACAATACTTAAAATATTAAATTTAGTTCTATGGAGCCCTGTCTCTATGTCTCATTTCTGGAGATAACCCAGAACTTTGTCCCAAATAAGAGCACTCTAAAGGATGATAAAAAAAATACATCTTGTCTTGAAGCAACAAAATACTTTGATTAGTTAACACTCCCTGATATCATATGGAAAAACCTGACATAAAGTTTATTACAAAGGGCCAATTTTGACACAAATAAAGGTTGTTTGCATTCTTCCTGTTAACAAAACTGTTCATTCTAAATGGTATCAGCTAAGAATTATTGGTTATTTTCAGCCAAGGAGCTGACAAAATTCACCCTCTCCCCCAGATGTGGTCTCTTTGAAAGAGGTTAGTATTCACACGTGGATTGTCATTGTGCAGGAAGCAACGGTGGCCAAACTGAGTGCCCCACTGCGGAGCAGCTTTGTTCTCCATCCTTCCTCTAAACTCAAAGGAGAAGGCGAGTTGGTGCAGCCATATTTGTTTGGTTGGTTCTTCATCTAATAACTTTTCCCCCAAAGAATTTAAAGCTGCTTCCATCAAAGTTCCTATCCTGCAGCCAGATGGCATAAATCAGAAGGAAGAGCAAAGGGCAAACAAAGACAGAGGCAGAAAAGAGACGGAGCAATGAGGCCATGGCACAAATGAACATCTCGCAGACCTCGCTGAAAGCGCCCTACAGATTTGGTGCTAAGCCTCCCTCCAGCTCCAACAAAGAAGAAAACCAGCAGCAGCAAAAAGGGGCTTTAATTTTTCAAGGGTTTAACCCTCACATCTGGAGGACAGGGAAGTGCAGTGATGGCCTTTAGGATGACACCATGTCACAAGACTGTAATGCGTTCCTCACGCTTGGTCTTTTTTTTAAGTTTCGACGAAACTCTAAGGGGTCGGTGTTATCATCCCATCGACGTGGCTGAAACGGGCTGAGCGTGAACAGCCCCGGTCATCCAGCAAGCCAGCTCCAGGGGCCTGGGACTCGAGCTTGTGACCCACAGCCCGCAGTGAGACGGGGAGACCGTGCTTTCAGTGCCCGTGAGCATGACCCAGAAAACAGTGGTCTTTAAGCCTAGATTTCTAAACTGCAGCCCCTCCTTTGAGTATTACGCCTCATCCTATTCCCTGAACAATCCAAGAAAAATGTAAATACATGGCTAAAAAGGGATTTTACTGAATCCAGAACCACAGTGCAGGCTCACTGCATCTTCTTCAATAACCATCACGCTGTGGACTGAAGGTCTAAACTGTTTTGATCTCAACCAGAGCGCCACAGCTTCTGAATACCCTCCCAACTCCTTCCCTTACCACGGCTGTCCGAACTGGGTCTTAAGAAAAACGGGCAAAGAGGCCTGGAGTCCACCCACTGTGTACCCCACCTCCCAACCAAAAAGAATAAATGGGACAGGCTTCTTGGGAGTCCTGAGGTAGCAGGCAGATGGGCCCCCAGACTGGACAGCTGGAGTTTGCCAAGTGGAATAAACTGCAGCTTTGTTTTCCCAGACACTCCAAGGACCAAGTTAATGGCAGCAGCTGAGCTCTGCTGGAGTAAAGAGATAAGATGACCCCTCCTGAGGTCAAGGAGAACTCCCCAACTGCAAATGCACAGAAAGGTTCCTCGGGAGTCAAAAAGGGAGGGGGCGTTACCCCATTCCACGCTGGAATCGATCTTGGCAAAAAGATGCACACACGTATCAGGGAAGGACCCTAGGACAGGTCAGGTGTGGGAAAAGAAAAAGATAATCGGCCAAAGGTAGACAAAGAGCCGGAAGAACTGCCCCATATAAATGATTCAACCACCTCTTTACTGCACTTCTCCTCATTAGGGAGGACACCCACACCGTTTCTCTCCGGGTGTGTATTTCTGCCTTGCTTCTGTCTTAAATAAATAGTTTCTCTGTGTGCTCTCCCACATGTTGTGCTGTGTCTCTGATAATAAACTCTGTATATGCTTTTGCAGTTTTGCCTCCTTGAGAAATCCATTTTTCAAACAGGGCAAGAGCCAGGGCAACTTTGACTCTAGCCTCTAGCCCCTGGTAGGCTAGCAGCTAGGATTCCTGGTTTTCACTCAGGCTACCTAGGTTCAATTCCTGGGCAGGGAACTAAGATCTCGCTTCAAGCCACTGCTCACTGCTATCTCCCTGGGATCAGTCTCATGCTTGCTGCACCCCAGCCTGCACTATTTGAAATGGAAACACCCTTCACCTTGTGGGTCTACGACCCGACTTGAGGTTTTTGTCTTGGGCGAGGCTTAGCTCCACACGGCCAAAGGAAAAGAAACGAGAGTACTGTGGAATGAAGCATATGTGAGATCGGAAATATATTTTCCCAAAACATTTTCATCAGGTACACACACACACACATACACAACAGAGTTTCTGAAACTGTTACAGAGCAGTCCGCCAGTAATTTCTTATAGCAATGGATGAAGCTGATTCTGTCCATGATTTCAGGGGCCAAAAAGAGATCTGTGCTTCACACGTATACCCTTCACCTGACCAATGGCCAATATTTCTTTAGATTAAACCTTGGGAATAGAACTGATATTTTAAATGCACTGGAAATTCAAACTGCACAGATGTATGTCTTACTGGGGAGAAGTTCCAGGCCCACAGGGGTTCCACTGAAAAGTATTTCAACAAATATTTTTTGATCATCTACACTGTAACAGGCACCATATTCAGTGTTTAACATACATTGATGTTGGGCTTCCCTGGTGGTGCAGGTTAAGAATCTGCCTGCCAATGCAGGGGTCACGGGTTTGAGCCCTGGTCCGGGAAGATCCCACATGCTGCGGAGCAACTAAGCCCGTGTGCCACAACTACTGAGCCTGTGCTCTAGGAGCCACAACTACTGAGCCCGCGTGCTACAACTACTGAAGCCCACGCGCCTAGAGCTCGTGCTCCGCAACAAGAGAAGCCACTGCAATGAGAAGCCCACATGCTGCAACCAAGAGTAGTCCCCGCTCGCTGCAACTAGAGAAAGCCCAGGCGCAGCAACGAAGACCCAACACAGCCAAAAATAAATAGATACAATTTTTTTAAAAGATACACTGATGCTGAAAAAACAGACAAAATTCACCAGCTTCATGGATCTTACATCCTATTGGGATGAAATGCAAATTTATATATTTATGAAGATCAGACTTTTACTGTGATGTTTGGTCATTACATGGTCATTATTTCAAGAAAATTATAATGAAACCAGATCCTCAGGATCTTACATTCTATTGGGTTGAAAATGAACACAAAGGAGGGAAGCATTTTTCCCAAGCCTGGTCCCCAGGGAGAGGTGACAAAGGGGCAGCTTTCAGCCAGGAATTGGCTCTGGTACCTTTCACTTTTGCTGCAGAAGAATAATCCAAAGTTAAACCACACTAAAATCGCAAGGTGCTGCAAAGCCATAAAAAATGACAAAATCATGAATTCAGAATTTTATGAGGTGCCAGGTAAAAGCATTACCTGTTCATCCCCCAAGAATGATTGTGTTTACAGACTACAAATAAATAGCAGGTCTCTTTTATCCATTTGGAAACATCCTCTCAAGGCATTATTCTTCCTTTTGACCATTTACTTGTTTTATAAGAAAACTAGTCATACCAAAAGAAGAGCACTTTTCCTACATTTATGAAGATCAAATTTTGCTTAGTGATATTTTGTCACTATATGGCAGGTTTATTAGTTGTGGTGCCATTATGTCCAATAAAATTACAAGGAAACATTAAACTCACACTGATGACATGCTCCATTTCCTGAGAATAACAAACTTGTGAAAAGAATACAGTATACACTGATGCCATTGCTACCACCTCCGTCGTCTTTAATGCTTTTTCTTTGATAGGCACAGCCATTACGCTTATAGACATAAAAGAGTTCCTTTCAGAAGCTTCTGCAAAATATGGGAATCCCATAGAGACATGACATATATACATTTACCTAAATCCATTTAACCTTCTATAATCCTTTGCTGAAAACATATTTGCCAGATAGTTCAAAAGCTGTTTGCCCCTCATTTCATTTGAGTTCAACACACACATTCTGAGATGGTCTCCATGCCCGGCCCTGTGCTGACCACTGAGTGTATAAAAGGAAGGATACAGTCTCAGCACTGGCAAGGCATTCTCTGTGCTTAAGGCACTAAAGGTGATAGCATCGGGGCAGTAGGCGAAAATGCACAAGGCACTCAGAGGGTGCCCAGCAGGGTCCAAGCCAAACCCAAAGGGGGCGGGGGGGGGTGGTCAGAAAGTCAGGGAAGACTTTCTGGAAGAGACGACAGCTAAGCAGAGTCTTGAAGGGTAAGCTAACAGCAGAAGTGAGAAAGTACATTCTGAGCAGAAAGAAGAGGCTCAGAAAGGCTCAGAGATGGGAAACGGCCTGAGGGTACTCCAAGACAATAAAGTCAGAGGTACCCAATGGCCAAAGGCA